GGGTATTTAGAAAATTCTAATGAAATATATACACAGGAGTGTATTTAATTCATTATAGTTCGCATCGGTCATATCACTTCCAACGGATGATAATGATGATGACCTTGATGAAATAGAAGAATAGAACGAATACGTCGAATACGACGACGACGAAGAAGAACAAGAAGAATATGACGACGATGATGACCGCTATCGCGTATACGGCTATGAAGATGACGAAGATAATGATATTGATGAGCAATTTGACTTAATTGATCTTCTCGAAGAACAATAAGAAATTGAATCTACATTATCCTACCTCAATTCAGTAGATCTTGAATGGGTCGCCGTAGATGCTGATGATCACCATTAGATTTTCATTCAAGTCTTTCAAACAATATTTCTTCCTTTTCTTTTCTTTTGACAGTAGTCTTGAATTTAGAAATTTCATTAATTCATGCATGCATTGATCTGTAGTCTTGTCTTCGTTTTCGAAAAGTTCGAATAGAGCATTGCTCGTTCCTTCGAATAAAATATAAACAATCATCTAGTGAATTTAGCTGTCGGTCAAAAAGATGTTATTCAAAGGATAAGCTCAAAACTGACAATTACATTTCAAAATAGACATCCTCACAATTGAAAAAAAAACCATTGTAAACGGATAAACTCTCTGCTTCCCATACACTGTCCGAACTCATCCATGCCAATCTAAACTGTTTATTTGTTCTGACACGAGAAGGAAAGCAGTCGAGTCGGTAACACCACCGGTGTGGCTGACTAACTTTAGTGATGGTCGGGGCAGAGCTGGTCCCGTTTATCTGGTTGGTCGATACGGTAAACAACCAGTCTATCGAACCAGTAATGCTGTTGCTAGTTGTAAGAAAAAACGTTGAGACTAAAAACCTGGTAGACTATACTATCATTCAGAGACTTAAAAAATCAACAACAAGAGAACAAATTTACGATTTTTTGGCCCCCAATTTTTTGAGATCTTTGGGTCCCACAATGCAATATACTCTAGATGAACTTCCTCATCCGTGACACTGTAAACACATTGCTAAAACACTTTGAATAATGAAATCGCGTACAAACCTTTTCTCATTAAACAGGTCCCTGCATTTGTTCCCTACATGGACAATGTAGCGCGAGAGAATGTCTCCAACGCTGCCGATTCCAACAAAAACATCCACCATCTCCCGTCCCCACACAACCAACCTCAATGATGCACAAACCAGCTTAAAAAATAAACACATATCTTAGTGTAAAAATTATTTAAACGCTTCATTCTATGTTTTTTTCAATAAACCAGCTCTTCTCTTTTCGTCTACCTCAACAATGCCCAAACTCGAAACACCGTGGGAGCCTCGCATAACATACACTAAAACAGCAGCAGTCAGGACTAAAATGTAAAACAACAAACTTCAATAACTCAACATACTTGAAAGAAATTACCCAAAAAAAAACTTCCTAGAACAAATCCAAAAAATAATGCACAAACACATACATATCATAGACAACATTTAAGCGAAAACACGAAAACCATAATTTTCCCGAAATGTCATCCAACTACTCTCATAACTACTGATTTCGAACAATATCTGACTGCTCGATTCCATACTGTTCAGCCGATTGAACGGAAACAAGCAAAAATTGTTCGCGAAAAAGTCTTCTCTCTCTTTAAGCTACACAATGAAATACGTTACACAGCTGACATGAGAAAACGAAATTCGATCGTTTAGATGATTCCAATAGCATCCACCAGCAGATGCCCTGTTACACACTGACTTTTCATCGGAAAACAAAAAGAAATCCAACGACGTATTGCACATTCTTTAATTCTACAAATGAATTGTGTGGTCAAACTTACTCAACAGATGCGAACAGAAGACTCACGATATCTTCAATTACTTGAACGACTTCGTCAAGGTCAATGTAGTTATGAAGATTATGAATTATTATTGACGCGCGTTGTGGGACAGCCAACCGTATCTCTTCGTGAGCCACCATGGAATCAAGTAAAATATATTTCTCTACTCTAAATAAACATATTTTCTCTGTTTT